AAAATATAATTTTTTTTAATATCTCAACAAATATCAAATCAAATTTGATAAATTTTTTTATTTTGATTTTACATACTTTTTTATATTATTAAGATATCTTTTTTTAAAGTTGTAAAAATTTTAATTTATGTGATTAGAGTTCTGCAAAATCAAATCAAATCAAATATTTAATAGATTTAAATTTAATTTGATTTTTTTAAATCAAATATCAAAAATATTTGTATTAGATCAAGTAAAATCAAATCAAATATAATATTTATTTGAATTTGAATTGATTTTATTTAATATTTGACATTATGGCAAAGTGTTGCATGTTTTGTTCCATTATAAAGAGTATTATATATTTGATTGATATATATGTATTCTACATCATTACTTCAATTCTGAATTGACAAGTGTCATTTTATAAATTCACTGATTGTGAAATAGCCCAGGCCAATTTGTAATGCTGATATTGAGACCATATTAATATAATAAATTATTGAGTATTATATTATTTACTAGTAGCTAGAAACGTCCAAACAGGGTTTAAAATTGGCATGCACAAGATGTACATGTGTACAAGCTTTTTTTGGAATTTTTTGGATTTTTAAAAAATCTTCTAAGTGTGCATGTAATGTTTTTTAAAAAGGTGCACAATATACATTTGTGCATGAGAATTTTTTTTGAATTTTAAATACTGCATCCAAATGTCTGTGCTTAAGATAACTTGATACAATATATTATAAATTGAAATAAATTGGCTATGCAACTAAAACTCAGCAGATAGACCAAACTCTGAAACAGAATAGAACAGAATTAATCAATCTTGACAATAATCTAGTAATTTACATGCTAAATAAAATTGTCAGACACTAATTTTGCTACAATGTAGTTAGTTAGTTATTATTATTGATTAATGCTAGCCAACTCTGTTGAATACCAACCTAAACTTTGGCTGATTTTTTAAATTTTGGTTGTTCGACTAATTTTCTGTAAATTGCATAAGGGCAGTGTCATTAATCACCTGATTATTTTTTATCAGAGGCCTACCCCCCTCTCCCTTCCTTAATATACAAATAGTTAGGTTCCTTATATATAATTTTAAATTTTTTATCCCCCCTAAAAAATCACCTGATTTTTGTCAGCTCCCTAATTATACCATATTAGGAATTTTGCTAAAAATATAATGCAGAACAATAATTTTATATTGAGATAAAAAAAATATGGTTCAGTAATCATTTGAGCACTACTATAAGAAAATAAGACTTCAGACTTTCAAGCCAATTATTTATTATTTATAAAATTTAGCTTGTGAAAATCTGATCAGATATAGATCATATATAATACATGTTACTATTGTATTATCAGATTTTTAAATTATAAAATTATAAGATTTACTTCTTTCATTTATAATAGTTCATCAATTGGAATAATATAATACACTATTCTATATTTAAATTATAATTTAAAATTTTTTTAAATTATAGAAAAATATCTTTGCTAAAACAAAATGCTTGTTTTTTGTGCAATATTTTACAATAAGATTTTGAAATCTGTTTTGATCTCTAAATCTAAAAGATGTGGGATAATCAAAGCTGTAATTACAGTATGGAACAAAATTAGTATAGTAAATGGTGTAGAATACTAATTTAAAAAACTATATATACCATACTAATCACTGATTATTATGCCAAGCCAAGCTCATGGAATTATTATTATTTATGCTCATAATATATAAATTTGATCAACTGCACCATTACTATAATTCAGTATATTAACCATTCTTTTAAAATAAGTGAACAGAATTGACAAGTCTTAAAAAAAAAGATATAAATCAATATATGAATAGATTACTAAATCTAAAATTGGCTAATCTAATCTGTTAAAAGTGACAAACAGAACATTAAAATCTTTATAAATTAAAGAATTACTTATATTAATATTTCTGTATATTTTAAAGTTTTGAAAAATATTGAAAAATGAAAATTTTCATTACTATTCATTATTAGAAAAAAGTAAAGAAATTATACTGATTTTTCAGTTGGTACTGTAATTTGAATCTGAACTACAGTATTTATGAAATCAAAAACAAAAATTATTAGTTCGGTTACAGGTTTTTATTATTTTTATTAATTAATTATATATATGTATTAAATCTAATTATTTATATTAATTACTAAAAATATATTAGTTCATAACCAAAATTCCAGATTGGAATGTGGCAGAATTGATAAATTTTGTTAATAATCTAGTAATTATTATTATTGCTTATTGCTAGCCTGACACTAATGCATTCTGATTCTAAACTTTGGTCGATTTGCTAAATTTTGGTTGAACAATAATAATGCCTGACGAAATGGTTTTTGTGATGACGAATGACATCGTCAAGGTTTCGTCATGACAAAACTTTGACGATTGATGAAACCCCCGACAATTGACGAAACATATGATGAATTGACAAAACATATAATGAATTGATAAAACATATGATGAATTGGCAAAACATATAGTGAATAGATGAAAGCCCTGACAATGATGAAACCCTTGATGAAGCCTCTAATGATCAATGTATTCTTGACAAATTGATTCAGGCAGTAATATAACATTAGTAAAATTGAATAAATTCGAATTATATATAAAAAAAAAAAAAAAAACCAAGTTCAAAATTTCTTAAGTACATTTGATCTGTAAGCTACCATAGATCATAAATATATATACCATAAAATGTGTGAAAAGACTTAAAAAAAAAAGCCCTCTTTCCTATTTTCTCCCATGTGACGATCTTTCTTAAAAAAAAAAAACCTGACATCAATTTTATTTTTGCATTCATGTTAGAAAATTTAATAAACTTATTTAATAGTTAAACCTATTTTGTATTTATAATTGGTTGAAATACAATTATTGGCGAAAAAGTACTCTTAAGATAATATTTGCTTACATATTATCTTTTAAGTTCTTACGGCAAGTTTTTCGAAGTGCTATAGGTAAAGACTCCAAATTCTCATTGTTATTCTCTAAAGAACTTACATTTTCACTAATACTATCTTTATCTATAGTATTTGAATTATCATCAACACGCAGATCTTCACTATTATTATTTTCGTAGCTCCATTTTGCTATCAAATCTGCAGCTAAATCTGTAGAATTATTTCATTATCACCAACTAACTTATTATCATCAAATTCATCAGTACTATCATCTTGTGATTCTTCACTATCAGTATCGTCACTATTAGTATCAGATTCACCATCTTGAAACATTTCATCTCTTAAAAATACTATATTTTCGACATCAAAATATTCAATAACATTTGGATCATAATCAGTTAATTCTATTTCGGAGCTTTCAGTGTCTTCAGTATTTTCAGTATTTTTAGTATCTTCAGAGTCTTCAGTAAAGTTTTCATTTTCTTTAGCTAAAAACATTGCTGAGATTACTTGTTCTTGCAAATCGTTATATAGTAACTTTTTACCAAAAAAACATAGTTCTTTTTCAATATTTGAAACACAAAAAGAGCAAACTTGTGCCATAGCTTGAATTCTAGATAAGGAAAGCCTTTGTCTTTGTTTTCTGTATAGCCAACCTAATGTTGAAAAGGTTCTCTCACAATCAGCAGAATATGGTGTGATTGAAAAAAGCTTAATCACCAACTTTCCAATAGTTTTGGAACCAGTATAATTTGTTGACCACCACAACAACAGTGTATCAGTTTTAAAACAGTAAGGCAAATGAAATCCCTTTTTTTCATAAAATAATCGCATATGAGCTACAAGAGTTGTACATTCATATCGGTCATGTCCTTCTTGTTTCTATATTTCAATCGCAGTCATTACAATTAACTCAAATTGTTGTTCATATAATCCAGCACCTAATAAAAAATTATTAATATTTAATAATATATATTTAATTATTAAATTTTAAAATATATATGTACCATGATAGCCCAGATGAAGAAAATAAGCTAGCAAATAATTATCAGCATTAAAATCTCTCCATCATCTATTAAAAATTCTTATACAGTAATTTTTAAATCCTTTAGCCCTTATATTTGAAACTTTTTTAATAGTAGCTGCTAATTGAATAAATTGTAAAAAGCAGTCTGCTAATGTTGTTAATTGTGATTCTAAATTCATAATAGCTATTCGAATAGGAGATAAAATCTTAACCAAAATTTTGAGATCTAAAAAAAAATATAGTCGCTTTAAAATTTGCTTTATTGTTCAACTTGAAATTATATCTGGGTTATCATTCATAATCTATAATATTATTATATATTATTTAGTTATTTAATTATTATACATTATATATTTAATACATATAAATAAAATATTTACTTTAGTAAATGCACATTCAAGTCTACTAATGGATAAGGTACATTCATACACAGAAGTCCATCTAGTGTCTATAAATTTTTTCAATCCACCACCAACAATATTTAATTCGAATAAAGATATAAGTTTGGCATATGTGATTTTTTAAAAAACTTGATAATTTCATTACATTCTTTTATAAGACACGAAGCAAATATTTGCTCTAAAAAATATATATACAATAAGTTAATAAAAAATATATAATTATATATATATATTTTTATAACACTTACTAAGAATATCCTTTGATATAAGGTTAATACAGTGTGTAATACAATTCAAGCTTAAAATATTTGGATGCTTTTTGTGAATAATTTGTCATACAAGCTTAACATTACTAGCATTATCTGTCACAATTGCTGCGAATTTGTCAGATCCAATTTTATTTAAAATTATATTGATTTCATCTGCAAGAAATTCTGCAGTATGTGAATTTGCTAAAAAATCTTTTAACGAATATAAGAACTTATTATACATAGGTGTCAAAATCATAAAACTGTAAATAGAACTTCCATTAGGCGATGTCCACCTGTCTAAAGCTATAAGTATAATATTTTAAATAAATAAATAAATTTAATATAAAATAATAAATATATACAATATATACTAATAGTTAAATTCTCAGATTCTTCAAAAATAATTTCCCGTTTAATTCTCAGATTCTTCAAAAATAATTTCCTGTTTAATTGTAACTCTAGAATACTCTTGATCTAATAATCGTACTGCTAAAATTTCTCTTGATGGTGGTTGATAATTTGGACACAAATTTTGAAGTAGATCGATAAAAAATGGGTTTTCAATTACTGAAAAAGGAATATCACAGACCACAAATGCTTTTAGTAATGAGCCGTTTATAGAGCTTATTCGCTCTTCAGATAAATTTTCTGTTTTTTGTGGGAAATATTTTGTAAGATTAGGCTAATTGTTTAACTTCTGTTTTTTTAAACCAGTTATGTTTTCTGACTGTTCTTCAAGATTATCACAATAAGCCACATGAAGTAAATATATTTGCCGAATCTCATTATCTACAATAGGACACTCTAATGCAAGATGGGCTTCAAGTTTTTGTGGTTCACCTCTTGACCACTTAGCTGGACAATAAGAACATTTTGCTGAAAAATGTCCAGGTGAAGAGATTCGTTCTTGATGAAAAAATTCCCAAACAGGTGATTGGTTTCATCCCCCAGAGCAGGGTTGGCACATTTATCAATTGGGCCCAATGGAGAAGACCTCCATTGGCATTGCTTCATTGCTCCATTGGGAATAATTTGCCAATGGAGCCAATGGAGGCCAACATAATAACTATAAATTATAATATATATAT